TTTTTGGTTTTTTTCCTTTTTAAGTTTTAAAATTGACAATGACAAAAGAGAAGAGAACAGTAGATACAATAGACTGGAATAGAACAATAATGTGACACCTGCTCTTATGTGGGACTCTTGATCAGTAGATCTCAATATAATAAATACAGTTCAACACTTACTGAACGGTGTGATGGATTTTTATTTCTATGATATGCAAAAGTGGTGGGCATGGTACAAATGTACAGGAGTACACAATGCAGAATTTAGTTTCTTCCATTATTTTGAATGAGTTACCCAGAGGATATTGCATCCATTCTTTAGTCAAGCAAGGCACAACCTTGCCTTCTGTTTGTGAAATGGCTTCTGTCTGGTGCCAAATGCCCTCCTCTCTCACAGGGGCAAAGCATCTATGAAATCAAAGCATCTATAAAGTCTATGAAATGTCAGGGTCAGGAAACACAGAACAGGATTATAGTTCATTAAGCCTTTTTTCTTTATCGTTTATTAAAGGTGATGATTTTCCAGCATTGGCCAGATTAGTAACATACAGGGGGTAATGTAAATTTTCAGCAATGTATCAAGCCACCTCTTTGTGCCACAAAAAAGAATGCCTTTCAGTCATACTACCAAGATGAACCATATATAGCACAAAACAATGTGCAGACACAAACAAAAGGGCATGTGGTGATGCTTGAATGTAAGGAGGAAATGCATTAGTTCTTGTTTAAATGATACAGTCAGCTGCAAGGATGAGATGGTATGTGTGATGTCTATTGACTGTGACATTTAATAAAAAAATAATTATCTACCATAGTAACCGTGGCAGAATTTAGAACACACACACCCTTAAATAATATTAAAGGTATGCCTTGAACCATTAAGGAAAAAAAGGAGGAATTTAGAATTGTAGTTCAGACTGCTTTTAAGCTTCCCCCTAATGCTGTGGCTTTTCAGAACTCTTCAAATATTACTGATGCATTAACACAGTACAAAAAGGCACCTCAGTGCTGTTTCCAGTCTAAACCTTAAAATTATTTAGCATAAAACAGGATTTTCTTTGAAAAGGGGGTTGATCCTAGAGACCCAACATCAAGGGACTTTACCTTAAAGGCACAACACCATCCTCTGTTAACATTTCTATAGTGCTTCTTCAAAGTACATTTATTTGCTTAATTTAGATTGAAAAAAGCCAGTCAAAATGCGCTTTCTATATAAGGGGTGCCATTTCACAAGTAAAAATACAGACCATTAGGGATGTAATATGCTGAGATCATCAAGATAGGTGAACAGTTTTTTAAAAGGGAGATACATTTGAATCCAGAGCCCTCCAAGCTCCAACATACTCCATGCTGAAAATCCTCGTCAGACTAAGTGGGTTTTACATCATGACAGATGTATTAAGGGGATGGGAGCTTCCAGAGTCAAGGGACTATCAAGAGACCCACAGCTTGTACATAGCTCCTGCTTACCTTTCTGTCAAAGGAGCTCCAGCTTCAGCCACCCTCCTAATCTCCACTGAGAGGCGAGGACAAGGGATGAGAAGTGATCTTTCACATGCTGTCATTTCTCACACTTCTTAAGTTAACACTGCTTAAATGCCTTGAATTCTGCTGGAATGCAAAACTCTAGAACTCTTGGTTCAGAGATGATACCCTTTATTAGAGCAACTAAGAAATCACAAAAAATTGTCTGTTTCTGCAAGCTTTGGGGCTCACATGCCCTTCCTCAGGCTCAGGGAAAATTAAAGGTGGTTAAAAGCCCCATAGGTAGGAAATAATTGAATTTTGCTGGCAGTCTCTGCAGATCCTGGAGAGCTAGTACAGTGGTTTTCAACTTTCTTAGACTCAAGACACCTGTTGGTAGAACCAAGGCACCCCTCAGAAAATGCCAGCTCTTAGCTTTCACTCATTTTTTGACTACGGAAAAGTACTGGAGCAAATTTGTCTGTTGCAGAGAACTCAGAAAGACCACAACAGAGCAGAAATGTTTTAAGATTATGGACTCCTATTTGAAATCTCTGGGTTTCCTTTATGAATCATGGTTGCATACTTAACAGTGCTAACAAGATTTCAAGGCAGCCCAGGATGCTGCAGTGCCCTGGCTGAGAATCACTGAGCTAGTCTGACAACCATATTTATGTAAGTTACAACTGGCAGGTATTTAGGGGCTGCTGCCCCATCCATAGTTCCTATCCTGCATGCTGGGTAGTCATATGGGAGGACTCCATATTTTTAAAACTAAACTGGCTTTTTCATAAGAGAACTATTTACAGAGATGCTGCACCTGCAACTCGTATCCCAGTTATGTGCCCACACACTGACTTCATTCCTGCAACCTGTGCTTGCCCTACCAAGTTCCCATGTCAGTTGCATCTTTCCTTTGAACAATTGTTGTGGTTGCTCATGGCAGCGCATCGTTCCTCAGTGTTTGCCATATATGCTGATCTTCAAACCACCTTCCCGTTCCTTGATGGGAGACTTGCTTTCACTCTGTTGCTGAAAGGAAGCATTTAGTGTTCTGTCTGTACTCTGAGTTGCTTCTATACCTTTTTCAGACTCTCCTATACCAGATCAGCTGAGGGATGGTGCTTTTTCTATGACTTCCTCATCTTCAGTTTGACTGTTTGTCCAGATGTGTCACTAACCTTCAGGTATCTTCAGAAATTTATCTTCTCCTGTCCTGATTCTGCATCTACTTGATGTGACTTGTGCTCTGTTGCAGCTTGAACAACAGATTTTTGCCATTTTGTGTGGCTATTTATTACTTGGACCCAGACCTCCTTATCTGTTTAAAGTGGTCTCAGTTCTATCTTATTTATAGCTGGCTGTCCACCTACCTTGGCAGTCTCCTATTTGCTTCTGTGTTACATGTGTTATTCCTTCACTGAGCAGCAGTAAGGTACAGTCATGAAAAAAAGCATGTTTGCCCCATAAAATCCTGGGCCAGGCTGCTAATAGTATCTGGGAGGGGCATCGTGATAGTTGAACATTTCCAGGCAGGGATCCCTTTTTGTCTGTTTTCCTCTTGCCATCTGTCTCTTAGCTGTCATTACTGCTGACTCGGGCTTCCTAGTGCTTTACAGGTACCAGAGGAAGACATCCTATTCTCAAATCCCTATTTGGCTCTTAATTGTATTATGCTGCATACTGTAACCCCTTGTCTGACCATAGCACTTCAGTTGTGCCATTTCTTGCAAAGTATGTTGGTAGCAAGAGAAGGATCAAGAAAAGTGTGGGTCCCTTGTTGAATGGGGGAGGCAACCTTGTGACACAGGAGACAGAAAAGGCTGAAGTGCTCAATGCCTTTTTTGCCTCAGTCTTCACAGGCAAGGTCAGTTCCCAGACTACTGCACTGGGCAGCACAGTTTGGGGAAGATGTGAGCAGCTCTCACTGGTGAAGGAACAGGTTAGGGACTACCTACAGAAGTTGGACGTGTACAAGTCCATGGGGCTGGGTGGGATGCACCTGAGGGTGCTGAGGGAGTTGGCTGATGTGATTGCAGAGCCACTGGCCATCATCTTTGAAAACTCATGGTGATCAGGAGAGGTCCTGGATGACTGGAAAAGAGCAGACATAATGCCCGTATTTAAGAAAGGGAAAAAGCAGGATCCAGGGGACTACAGACCAGTCAGCCTCGCCTCATTCCCTGGAAAAATATTGGATCAGATCATCAAGGAATCCATTTCTAAGCACCTGGAGGAGAAAAAGGAGATTAGGAACAGTCTGCATGGATTCACCAGGGGCAAGTCATACCTGACCAGCCTGATTGCCTTTTATGATGAGGTGACTGACTGTAGATGCAGGGAGACTGGTGGATGTGGTGTACCTTGATTTTAGCAAGGCTTTTGATATGGTCTCCCACAACACCTTGCAGGTAAGCTAAGGAAATACGAGCTGGATGAATGGACTGAAAGGTGGATAGAAAACTGGCTGGAGCATCAGGCTCAGAGGGTAGTAACCGATGGGTTGATGTCTAGTTGGCAGCTGGTATTAAGTGGAGTGACCCAGGGGTCAGTACTGGGGCCAGTTTTATTCAATGTCTTCATCAATGACCTGGAAGATGGCATAGAGTGCACCCTCAACAAGTCTGCAGATTACACCAACCTGGGGGGGGTAGCAGATACGCTGGAGGGTAGGTCTAGGATTCAGAGTGACCTAGACAAATTGGAGGATTGGGCCAAAAGGAATCTCATGAAGTTTAATAAGGACAAGTGCAAAGTTCTGCATTTAAGACAAAACAATCCCATGCACCAGTACAGGCTGGGGGCTGACTGGCTGAGCATCATCTTTGCAGAAAAGGACCTGGGGGTTACAGTGGACAATAAGTTGAATATAAGCCATCAATGGGCCCTTGTTGCCAAGAAGGCTAATGGCATACTGGGCTGCATTGGTAGGTGTGTTGCCAGTAGGTCCAGGGAAGTGATTATTCCCCTCTACTCAGCACTGGTGAGGCCACATCTGGAGTACTGTGTTCCGTTTTGGGGCCCCCAAAACAGAAAGGATATGGACAAATTGGAGAGAGTCTAGTGGAGGGCAGTAAAAATGGTGAGGGGGCTGGGGACATGACTTATGAGGAGAGGCAGATGGGACTGAGTTTATTTAGTCTAGAGAGGAGGAGACTGAGGGGGGATTTAATAGCAGCCTTCAGCTACCTGCAGGGGGATTCAAAAAAGGATGGAGCTAGACTGTTCTCAGTGGTTGCAGATGACAGAACAAGGAGCAATGGTCTCATGTTGCAAAAGGGAAGTTTAAGCTGGTTATTAGGAAGAATTTTCTCACTAGGAGAGTAGTAAAACATTGGAACAGGTTACTTAGAGAGGTGGTAGAATCTCCATCCGTGGAGATTTTTAATACCTGGCTAGACAAATCTTTAGCTAGGATGATTTAGTTGGGGATGGTCCCTGCTTGGAGCAGGGGACTGGACTAGATGACCTCCTGAGGTCCCTTCCAACCCTAACTTTCTAAGATTCTATGACTCTATGGGCCTGTGGTTTCTAGATGACAGTTCTTGGCTGCACCATCTCCAGATGGACCAGCTTTCAGAACCTGACCTGAGACCATGCAGATCCTGCTATTAAGTGTGAACAGGTTAATTCCAACCTTCTCCTAGGGCTGGGTTGGGATTCTGTGAGGCTGTATAATCTTTCATTGTCAGTCATCATGCCCCTTGTACTTTCTAGACACATTTTTGTAAAACTGGAGAATCATGTCTGACTAGTTGATAATCCTCCCTGTGAAACATGCACTTATCTTATGATATTATCTATTCAATCTGCTGGGATCACTGCTCAAACCCCTTAAAAAAAGCTCCCATCTTGCACACAGCTCATTTCTCCCTGGGTAGAAGAGAGGTTTTTCATGGTGCTTGCTTGTGACCTGGCCAGCCCTAGAGCATCAACTCTTTTACTGCCTGCAGGAATCCATCACATCTGTCGTTTTCCCTGGAGTGCCTGGAGCTTTCTATCAGCATGTGGATAAACTGTCTTTCCTGTTCCACAGAGCTGTCTGTGGGGTACCTGGAAGGTGAGCACTGTTTAGTGCATCTGTCGCCGGTAGCACTTTTCATGGACAGTACTTTCTCTCCTCACAACACTGGACTCTCAATAATTGCATTGTGGTAGCTCAGTGTTGTAGAGACACTGGATTTGTGGGGGTGGCTGGAGGCCCAATCCCCAGTGCTCAAGGCTGGATCTGGGTGTGTGGGCCTGACTAGCATGTGGGGTCCCATCTGGTCCATGGACTGGCCCTTCACTACTCACCTGGCCCATGGGGCCAAAAGGGTGAAAACCATTGTTCCACAGGGTTATAGTACATTAGGATTGCACTTACTTGTGCGCTCATTCTCTGTCTCCATCTCTTTCTTTCTATCACATCTGTTTGTTCTCAGCTACTTGAGTGTCCCTGAGCTCCGTCATGGTATATTGAATATCTTAAGGGCTCCTAGGCTTCAGATAGGTGAGTGCAGAATCTGGGAAGGAAGTTGGACATCCACATCAGTTGCCGGACTCCATGACATCCTTTGGTCTGGGCAGTTCCTTACTAGCTCTCAGTTTCTGAAATTGCCAGAAGCAAATTGATTCCCAACATAGTGGACTTTGGTTCTCCCTAGCTTCAGCTTGTCTTCATTGAAAGTAATATTGTGCTCCTGGCAACTGTTTAGAGGTTGTCATAGTCCTGGTTTGTATCTCCCTTGCCTTTTCCTTCTCCTTCAAGAAGAATGTCATTGGCTATAATTTTGGTAGTTGGTTCAGTTTATGGTGGGACATCTCTGGGGCCAGTTTGACCGCAGGTATTAAGCCTTATGCTCCCTTCCAAAAGGTTTGTCAGGTGACTAGTTGGCTTCTCCAGCTCTGTGTAGTGCTCTTAAACTTACAAGTGGTGAAACATTTTTACCTTGAATAAAGAAGTATTTCTTCCTCATTCATTGGTAATAAGTAGTGTCATCTTTTCAATGCTCTGTTAAGTTTTGAACACTCCAAACACTTAAGCATATGCTTACCTTTAATCATATGAGTAGTCTCTATGGTTCTAAAATGGGGTTCATCAAAAGAAAATTATGCATAATGTGCAACTCTTTATAAGATCAAAACTTCACTGTGAATTGTGAGTGTTCATGGCATTTCAGTTTCTGAGGTAGCTGAGACATGAGGGGAGAGGGAAAAAAAACAAGTGTAGTGGAGGAGGAAGAACAGAGATGCACATAGATACGGGGGGAAAGTCTGGTTACAGATTTAATTGGCTTTTTAGCTTTAACTTATTTGAAGAGAGATTCATAAAACTTAAAAAAGAAAAAAACCACAAAACCAGAAATATTGGGGAGTAGGTGGTGGGTTGTTTGTTTGTGAGTGGTTTTTTTTTGACTGGTTGGGTTGTTTGGTTGGGTTTTTTTTTACTTTTAAGTATTGTATTTCCCCTGTATCATCTTCTTTCCATTGCCTGCTACCACTATCAGGGCGTATTTTAGGTCACATGATGAGATCCCAATTCTACACTTCTGTGCATTAGCAGACAACTCTGATATCAAATGGCCCAAATAGCCAATCAGAATACAGCATGCACTGTCCCCCAGCTGACTCTTGGTGCTGGTGGGCAACACCACTTTCTAATGGTACATTTTGAGGGGGACTGGGGGGAGAAGGCCACTGGTGGAAGGAAATATGCTGGGTTGGGGATCGTAGCATTTATAAACCACCAGCAACCTCTTCTCCACTGAAAAGTCGCCAAAGTGGACAGGACAGGGCAAGGCCTTGGCCCGGTGGGATAGGAATGTAGCAATTTAGGTCCCAATTCATCTGGCTATGTCCACACTCTATGCGTAGGCAAAAGGCAGGGCAAGGTGGCACCTTAGAGACTCAATCTGCCCTGCCCTGCCTTCCACTTTACTTCAGACTAACACAGATAACTACCTCTCTCTCTGCATAGGCTTATCCCATTGATTTCAGTGGGATTCCTCCTGGGTTTCAAGAAGCACATACTCAAGTAATGCAAAGTTAGAACCATCGCAACCCTTGTGTGTCCTCCTGTCGCCCAGCCTGGTCACAGCATAAAGCTGTACCTTCCTGTTAGACCTCTGAAGGGAGGGCAGAGGAGCAGAAAACCTGCCCGTCCATGTGGCAATTACTCAAGTCCAGGATTTGTAGTTTGTATAAATCACTCTGGCTGTACATATAGGAGACCACCCTCTGTGTAGTCTCTTCTTCTGCCCGTTCAGAGAAAAAATGTCTCTAACTCATTTAAAAAATGTAAATGACAGGCTTTTTTTGTTGTGCTGGGTTGAGTCATACAAAACTCTCAATTAACAGGTGTACTGTGGCAAGCTGCACACAGCTGGATACTTTTCAGTCCTGGGTAACGATATAGTCTCCTCTGTATCCTGCATTTTGAAAGATGTGGCAGGTACTGAGCTCCCATTCATCTCATGTTGATTTACATGCCTCTTTCAAATAGATGGGAACCTTTTCTAACTTTGCAGTTTTTCTAGAGAGAAGTGAAGCTCTCAGGCTTGCTGCCTGCTTTCTTTCTTTTCTCCATGCTGACAAGCAGCGCTGTGCTTCAGCTGGTGCCAGAGCTGCTGTGTGTATCCACCTGATTTGAGTTGAAGATTAGATCCAGCCTAGCCTTTGCCTTTTAATCTGTTGCTTCGTTGGAGCTGGGATCTGATGATGCTTTGGGCTAAGCCGGTTGCAATGAGATAATACAGAAGATGAAAGGTGTTGAGCCGGCCCGGCAGAATGGTTCTAGGACTTGCAATATCTGACCCACATCACAGTTTTGAATCTGAAAAAAAACATGATAAAGCTGCCTCACAAAAAACTACAGAAACTGTTCCTGAAAAAGGTAAGGTGTTTCTTTTTTGGTTTTGTTTTTATTAAGCAAATGGGTGAAAACAAAGTTTGGCAATTGCAGCATTGATCTTGTGAGGTCTTCTGGGTGCGATGCATTACTTTTTATTTAAGCAAAGTAATTCTTTCTGGTGTATGGTTTTGATGGTTTGCAAATTGTATCTTAAGATGCACCTAGAAGTAAAGCACACTAAATGGTCTAACAAGCCTGTGCTTGTTGTCATTTTCTACCCTTAATGCACTGTCTCAGTATTAGTATGCATTCCACACTTACGTTAAATTTTAATGCTCCGAAATAGTTTCATGTAATGTAAGACTTCTAATCCCTGGTAGTAGAAAAGGATGCATCACATGGACCAATGGTCAGTTTTAAAAAAATACCTAAAGGAAAAAGCTGGTGTTATCTCACTTTCTCAAAGTAGAAATGCCCATGTATTAGAATTATACTATCGGCCCAATTTTGCTTCCAGATACATGGTGGGGGAGGGGAGGTTTATGAATAGGAGAGTTACACTGGAGAATTACTGAGAGCATATTGCTTTTAGGTTTAAATCCAACTCTGTCTAAAATTTTGAGTTTGTCCCAGATCATAGTTGTGTGGACTTTGTACCTGGATGTCTGGCTTTCTTGCACAGCACATAAGATATCTACACTGTTTGAGCGTGAAGGACTTATTGTGGGAGAAAAAAAGTAACATCTTTCTATGGCTTAAATAATATGCAGTTATGTTTCCTCCCTTCATTCCCCACCCCTCACAATCCTAATAAGCTTGCAAGTTATTAGCAACAGATGAGATGTATAATCAGTTTGTTCAGCATGGGTCTCACAGAATTCACATTTTCATGGTATAGTGTTATTTCATATTAATAAGATTCCATATTTATTTCTATAGTATAAAATTTCGTTAAACCAAAGAGTTACAGTATTTTGATTAGAATCTGGCTGGAATAATAAAAAGTGGAGGGATCACAGTTTTTTTTGAAAAATCGAGTAGATGGCATGTAATTCTTTGTAGGTTTTAGCCCCTTCGTTGCTGAAGATGCACGCACTCTTTCTGAAGAAATGTTCAGATTTTAATGGTGGCATCTTTCACTTTTGCACTACAGTCCTTTTGAGATCCCAGTGCAAATTGAATAGTATTTTGACCCTCTCCAAGAACGCACAGTTTTTTTGTCATTAGTGATGTGCGTACATCTAATCACATAATCAGAAATTTTTACCCTTAGTGTAATCCCATTGCTGATTTCCCCCCCCACCATGCTTTCACATGTAGTGCTCCAAACCTAAAAAATGAGTAAAAACGCATGATGCAGCAAGGTGAATTGTGTACCTTATGAAATTCTGATTTACCATAGTATAGTTTCAGAAATACATCCCTGTATTACGGGATCTTACTCCTGGGCTACTGTTTAAACTGATAAAGTGAAGGTGGGTGTAACCCAGAAGGAAATGAGAATAATTCAGCCTGGAAAAAGCAGTAGGACATTGATAGTGTTTGGTGTCCCATAGCAACCTGCTCTCCCATGAAAGGTTCATTTATATGGTACCACAGTCAAGACACCGGATTGAATTCACACATAGGCTCCCATGTTTATGGCTTAGTTACTTTATCAAAGGTAGGAGGGAGGTACAATAATTCAATACAATTATTTTCTATTTATAGTAATATGAGCTTGAAAATCATGTACATGATGCTGCAAATCCTTTCAAATGCTTATGATGATGGGCATAATGCGCCAGAAAAATGACTGTCCTCTGATGTACAAACATACCTCCAATAAGTCAGTACACCTGCATATTTGGCTCAGGATTTGTTTTAAAAAACGTCAGATTTCTCAAGGTTCAGTCTTCAGATTCGGATTCTAATCCCCGTTTTTCTGAAGACTTTCTCTGTGATAATTCCAATTATCAAGATATTGGAGAACTTTTCTGTACAAAAAAATTATATTTTTACTCCAGCCCTAATGGCCATCTCGCTTTCTAGTTATTAGTCACCTAAAAAGATATAATGTCCAGTGCTATGACCACTAAAGATACCTTTGAGTCATGGTAAATAGATAACTACTGGATAACTCCTTTGATCTGTAGTGATAGAAGTTTGTGCTTTCATGGAATGGATGGCTTTAAGATTTGGCTACTTGCAGCATGTGGAGTTTAGCTGATGACTGTGCTATCTGTGTATGGGCCACAGTTTTGTCATGGGGATTGCATCTGAATATACAGGTGTCTAAACGGACCAGAGCTTTTTCTTCTGGGTTTTTTTTTTCTTTTTGTAGATGCAGTTTTGTAACTACTGGGCCTATAGACAGACATTACACACAAACCTGTTAAGTGATCAGAAACTGGTTGAAACCTGTAACAGAACAAACATTCAGTGCATATAAAGCAGATTGAAAATGGCTGAAACCAGTTTGAGATAAACCTGTTTGAATGTAGCATCAGACTTAACTGATTTGGGTCAAACTGGTTTATGCAATGTCTGTCCCAGACCCCTTGCTGGTTTAAGTTTAAATCAGACTCCCCCAGCATCTCGGCATGCCCTCTGGGCTGGGTGGGGCTCTCTGCCCCACCGCAGGGCTGGCCCCTCCCCTCTGCTTCCTGGCTGCAGCTCCAGCAGAGACTTTTAGGCACAGCATGGTCTGCTGGCTTCCCCATGCCCCCCTCCCTCCCGACTCAATGCTTAAGCAGAGATCTCTTCCTCCTCTATCCCACAGCATGGTCCATAGCCAGCATGTGGTCTGCTAGCTAATGCTGTATAGGCAGATAGGACAGTGTCCACTTAGGGTTTTTTGGAGCTAATCAACAGCTGGGTTGGTAATGTTCCTCCATTCCTTCCTTTGGAAAAAGCTGTTTAAGAAGAGCTTGAACTAATGAGCGAGGCATTGTTTTCTGATGAGGTGCTAAATACTGACAAATGCTCTGTTATCAAGGGGGGCAGGGGCTCCCTAATGACAGTGGCCTTCTGGGGCCTGGCCATGCCCCCCTCAGCTCAGCCCTGAGGCCTGGCCATGCCCCATTCAGCCTTCAGTGGAAGGGAAGGGAGGGCTGCTCTAGGCCCCTCAGCTCCTAGCCTGAGCCACTGCAGGTGTGTGCCTGTATTTTTTCAGTCCAGAGGTGATATCTTGTGGTTACAAAGTGATTTAGCCTAGCCACATTAGACTAACCTGGAAAGATTGAATCAATTCAGGTTCAGGCTTTCTGACTGTCTGTCCCTAGCCTGTGTGACTATGCATGAGTGCATGCATAGACATAATAGTATTTAGATTTGTGGGTGTGGTTAGGAAGCTAGAGGTAGAAATGCTAACAATTTGGGGGGGAGAATATACCCTCAAATTAACTGCTTTCTTAAAAAATTGTACCAATTTCACTACATTATTCAGAAAATTTCAACTGGAAGAGTGATATGAAAGTTCATCACAATAGTGGAAGTTTCCTTTCAAGGTTTGGTCTTTGGAACATTTACCAGATCCCCCAACTCAGCAAGTGGTGACTGAAAAATTAGTTTTTTCTCCCTCATTTCCATTAGCATCATTATTACAGGTTAGTGCCAGGTATTTCTTCAACCCGGTCAGTCAGCAGACTCTTACAGGTGTAATTGATTGGAACTTAGTAAACAATTGCACAAAAGTACAAGATGTACTGTCTCTTAATTGGCTTGGTTTTGCAGTACTATCAGGAATAAAAGGTACAAATGGTGTCTTGTCACTGAAGTCAGCAGTTAGAATGGATATGCAAAACAAACAGATCTGTTACCATTGTTATACAGTCACTTTTCAAAGAACTGCACCCTAAAGATGGAGAAGTTCTTTAAAAGTACTGTGAAGTATACATTTCTTCCATTATTACCATCGCTCCCATAATTCAGTGATTCCTCCGAAAGTTTTACCAAAAAAGAAAAGTAGAAATAGCAGTGGAAAGGGCTTCTACTATAGAATACTGCAAGCTGTTTAACTAGAAGCCAGTGTAAAAGTTGGCATGAATAAAAAAGACTTACAAAAGCTATTTGATTTCCAATATGGATATAAAAGTCCCTGTTTTTTCATAGACTATAATTCAGTGATTGAGACTGAAGTCAAAGAGTAGCTTTTTATTTTCAGTGACATGTTGGAGTAGAAAAAATATATTTTTAATAAAATGGGTTATTTAGATGTTCACTGGTTATAAATGGGATGCATTTTCTGTTAATAAGGAAAAATCGAAATGGAGACATTAGCAGCCATTACCCCTCCTCATGAATGTAGTGCTGCTGATATCATTTGGGAAAATTCATACTACCTCTGTAGTGTTAGGTGGGTGGAACCTGACTTTTTTTTTTTCGTGCAGAGAATGATGATTTGATAATGATTGCAATATTGCCAGAATATTGCTCAGTGATAGTTTGTAACACACGTTTCTGTTTCTTACCCACCACCACCAATGAAGGGTTACATAGAGAACATATGGTTGAGTTATCAATACAGAAGAAAGGAACTAAAAGATACATAAAGCCAACAGAATCTGACAGCGCACAGATCTTGTAGATGTCTTTTGTGCACCTTTGTGCATATGTGAGTCATATATATGGTCAAGGTATTTTGTTAGTCTTTAAACTGATTGTCGCTGTTCTTCATATACTGCAAAAAGCGATGGAATTCAGTGAGGTTACATCCAGATCTGCTTGTAACAGTAATGTTTTTTCTTTGTGGCATATGCATGCTTATTTTCTATTGCCAAAGCTACTTGTAAGTTCTGAGCTGTTTAGGCAGAGCATTGTGTGCTAGCAGGGTGCCCTTTTCGACCTAAGGTGTGTGTGGGGGGGGGAGGTTCATTTCAGTGATGTGGCAGATACAGTTTATAAAAGGGTCTGGAATTCATCAGGGCTGGTGTTGGCATTTTTGGATACTGCCATTTTTTTCATTTCCTGTGTAACAAATTAATGTCCACTGCAATGACAACACTGTCCATGGAGTGGTGATGTTAATATTTAATTGACTCAGTTTATTGTCTGATTACATCTTGGATTTTGCTGGTGGGGGACTATTGAGACCCCCCCCCCCCCC